TGGGATCAAGCCCCGCATCGGGCTCTCTGCTCGGCGGGGAGCCTGCTCCCCCCCACCCCACCCTATCTGTGCCTGCCTCTCTGCCTGCTTGTGCTCTGTGTCAAATAAATAAATCAAAAAATTCCCATGGGTGAAACGTTTTCTGCACACAGAAAAATATTAGCTCAGGTTTGCCAATACAAGTGCAGAAAGATAAAAGCAGTGCAAACTGAGATTAAAAATCCTCTAGCAGTTATTCCTGGCTATTTTAGGTTATCTGTACATTTATTTGTACCTTCTAACATGCCTTATAGATTTGCATTTGCTGCCTAAAAATTGAGTATCTGTGATACTTTTAAGATGACCTTGCATTCTTTAAATCATGTTTGCTTGACTATCATGACCTTCATTTTCAGAACTGATTTATTTCCTAGGTGATTTGAATTGTGAAACCTGTACCATAACACGGGGTGGACTGGTTGGTCTTGTTCTGGGTGGTCTGTACCCTATTATCTTGGCTATACCTGTGAATGGTGGCTTAGCAGCCAGGTAAGATTGTTCTCATAATCAATGAAAAACTTCAATATTTAAATGATTACCTAGAAAATGCACAAATTAACATAGATACATTTTCTGCTTTTAAGGCAATGTTTTTTAATTTGAAAGAGTTAGACTTTTTTTCTTAAAGTATTATTTAATAATTTGAAAACAGTTCTAGAAATTGATCCCATCATACCTCTTGCATGTGTAATTCAGGTTCTTTACCTTAATTTGTGTATTGAATGCCATCTACAAGCTACAAACAGTACTGTGCCTAACATGATAGCTAATTATATGCTCCATGTTTAGAGTTTGAGCAATTCCACTATAGGAAAATTCCATCACAAAATGGTTGGCTATAAAGTATAATTCAGTTATTTTCTGATCGAACTCTTACCAAGCAACCTAAGCTGTATGAGCCTTCAGAGGTGAAGTGGAGAAAGGGACAAAAGAAAACAAAAGTACAGTTTTCAGGACCAATATTTATCAAAGAGAGTAACTGGATTAACTTAATCTTTACCTAACTACTTTTATCTTAAGACTTCTGGGATTAATATATATTGTACATGGGTTTGCCATTTGATACAACTATCTTTTCTATAGAACTGTCTCAATCTTTTCTTACAGGTATGAGTCAGCCCCGCTACCAGAGAAAGGAAACATCTTAACTTACTGGACTAGAGTTTCTAAGCCTATCTTTAGAAAGATGTTATTTCCCATTTTGCTCCAGACTATGTTTGCAGGATACCTTGGATCTAAACAATATAAACTATTTATAAAGGCCCTTCAGTTACCTGAACCTGGCCTAGAAATTCAGTGACTGTTAAAACAAATGTGTACACAAAAATAAAATTATAATGTATGAATAAGTGTTTAGTGTATGAATAAACGTAGACTTTTAATCATATGAGGTACAGTTCTGGGACCTTTAACATACGGCTACACAGGGCAGCAACCAAAGGGGAGTATTAGTAAGGGCTATCACTTTAAACAAGAGCTTAACTTCTCTAGTTTGCCCAATAGTGTCTTCTACTTTGCTTGCTCCACTCCTTTACATTAAGCATATTTTGGTAACAGGAAAAATAACCATACAGCAGTTTTTACTGAAAACCTCAAAGAATCCAAGCAAGAATGAAAATGGGAGTAGTCATGAGGATCAGTTCACTACAGCAGATGTTCACTTTGTCTTCCTAATTCACTGTTTTCATAGATATTATTAATCTATTATTAATAGAAATTTAGAACATATATAACAACCTTCCTCACAGAGGAATCAATTCCAATAGTCCTGAAAGATGGTAGGCTCAGCTAGAGCTGATATACTGACTGATAAAGCTGATGCAGTGGTACAACGATAGTTACCTACTTCAAGAGTCCTCTTATTTGTATTTGGAAAGCTATATTCTTGGAAGATTAAGGCAAATTCTATTTTTGAAGCTTCCATTAGTTGGGACAGTTCTTTGGGGATCACATACCTAGGACTCTTCTTTTCAGCTGTGTGATGGTAAGCAAGCTAACCTCTCTTCTCTGGTCCTCAGTAACCTCACTCAGGACTGGTATTACGTAATACAGGGAAGTTGACTAACATAGCACTTGACTAAATGGTAGCACTTAAATGGTAGCTATACTCTTCCTATATTCCTGCTTTTGTTTTCTAAAATAGCCTAGTCTAATAGCCTTCATTTCCTAAGACAGATCATTTAAATTTTTGAAGTGACTTTTTGTGTTCCCCTTTGTAAAACTTTTCATTTCAGCTCTTTAAACCATTTTCTTATGTGACAACATCTAAATCAGCATTGCCCAACAGAACTTTATGTGATGATGGAAATAAATGTTCTATATATGACTGACAGTGTTAGCTACTAGCGGTATGTGGCTACTGAGCACCTGAAATGTAGCTAGTCCAACTAAATAAATGAATTTTTTAAATTAAATTTTTTAGCTACGTATGGCTAAGAGCTACAATATTGGACAACAATACAGATTTAGATCAACACTTTCTAATGAAATAAGCCAATCATACCAAATAAAATAAGTACCATCCCAGATCATATTGACAAGCATCTTCATTATTCCTTTCAAGTACAGTGACATACTTGTTAAGTAATCTTATGCTACTTAATTATATGAAAGGAGAATTTAATTTAGCTTGTCACCTAGAAGAGGCAGCCTCATGAGTGAGGCTTTCAGGGTCTGTTCAAAGAGAAAGCAGTCCAGCTAAAGATTTTAAAATTAAATGAAATTAACAAAATACATTTAAAATTTTTCAGGAAGCAAAGCGGGTATTCAACAAGTGCTTTGAAATGTATTCCCTAGCAAGTTTATATATGAAATGATCCCAATTATGAGCAAAAAAAATTTTTATTTTGCTGTAAATATTCTCTTGGTTAGAGAATTAGGGGTGATTTTTATGTTTTGATTTCTTGCTGAATTTTCTGCTTTCTATAATGGATATGCTTTACTTAAAGCTCTCTGACCCAAAATTATACACTTCTATGTATATTCTATCATTTTTATTTAAAGGAAAGCTCTACTTATCACAGCAGAGAAAAACATGGAAAAGTAGTTTCTGACTTCAAAAATAAGAAACCCAAATTACTAAATTAGATTCCTTAAGAATGGTGCTATCAACTTGGACAATTCAAAAACCATTGATATAACTAAGTTGGTAATTCAGTACAAATTGTTTTCTTATCCTGATACATTCCTAGCATATTACCATCTACAAAGAGAAGAGTTTGCAATGGTTTTTGAAACTAAAAAGGATTCTAGAATCTGTCCTCTACCATGTATTTTTTAAATCATCTTTCCAATTAGTAAAAATGGGCAATGTAAGCAAAAGACCATATTATTTTACATCTATTGCTACAAGTCTCCTTTACCAAAATTTTTGCCTGGGGGCAGGGAAATACATGTAAACTTACTGTGATCTGCATTACAATTTAGGGAACAGTCATTTGTAGCTAAGACCTAAAGAACACCGCCTCAGTCAGGAAGACAGTTTTTAACAGTTCAGTCATACTAAACAATTTAAATCCATCTTACAATTTACTTGGTGTAGTTATCTGGCTTTAAGAGGACTCATTATAGTCTACTTCAGATATTGATATAATTTGTAAACCCCAAACTATGGGACATTAGAAGCCAGAGGGGTCTAGGAAATTGACCTCTGTGGGTATACAGCAAAGATGCAAAATTCAGAGGCAGTGTAAAAAGAAAAGTTGGGCCACCAATAAAAATCAAATCTGCATATTAACATAACTACACAATTTTTCAAAATGCCACTTAAGACTACGTTTTTAAATTAGGTTGAAAACTAAGCGGAATAATTTTCAACAAAAATTATTTTGGTTCACCAAAACTATAAAAATTACCAAAGTCCACTGTGAACAGGTTTCCTTTTAAAAGTGGGGAAAATGGCTCTAAGAAATCTCAAATGTACAAATCCGGGAAAGGTAAAAAAGGAATAAAAACACTTATTAGTAACCAAAGCAATGAAAGGGGCAAAGCCAAGTTCACAAGCAACTACTATAACCTATGTGTTTTTTAAAATATTTATTTTTCTCTAATATTGAATCTATATTCCTAATAATCATTTACTTTCTGAATTTAAATTACTTCCCGTTTCATTTTTCTCCATTTCAAAACTGAAAGTAAATGACCTTTGTAGTCTAGGTCAGAGCTGGGAACAGTATGGTATGGTAAGACAATAACAAGTGACTGCCAGAGAGGACTGAGATAGTCAAATTCAAGTATGTGAAAAATACTGTGTTGGCCACACAAAACATTTTCCAAGTTTCTAGTGGAAGACCTCCCCATTTTGTCCCTTGCTTAGATGGTAACTAACTGGTTTCTGAAGGAAAAACTGCACAGTAAAATATAGAAATATAAACATTTGGGAAGGTCTCAAAACTTTGTGTTGACGAGTGTGGGGGAAAAACACTTCCAAGTATTTTACTGCCTATTCAACTTTCAAGAATCAGATTAATTAGCTTTAAAAATCTGATTAAATTAGTGAGACCTTAAACTAGTACTTCAAAATGCTGAACTAGGTGATCCCATATTTTTAAAGGTAATTACTCATTATCAGTGAATCACTCCATCTTAATTGTCATCAACTATTGTTAATGCCAAATCTTTGGTTGTAGAATTACAACTAGCTGTAGCGTTTGTATCCTAGAAGCATCCATCAGCTAAGTATAAGCCAGTGGGCATGCTCTTTGCTGCCTCGCATCACAGACACTGACTAAATTTAGATTACAAGAAACAGAGTGGGTTTAATAGGTTTAGTATAATATCATACAATAACCAAACTGTATAGTTATTATAATAAATCATTCTGGGCCAATCTCCTACCCCTCCCACCTCTCATCTGCACACTTCCCAATGAGTCAATTAAGATAAAATGACTCAGTCTAGAACAGACGAAAGAATGCATTACCATAATCCAACAAAAATGAAATAAACAATCCAGAGTTGAGTGTTTTTTCACACTTGTAATAAACTGGAAAAATGTTTCAATTAAGTAAAACAACCATATTATGTGGAAAAAAAACACTCCCATCATCCAAAATACTAAAGCCCTTACATAGCACTGGAGACATTTTAATATATAACATCAGAAACTAGGATACCATTCATTAGAAACCTCAAAATAGTCAAAAAAGTGTCAAGTACTCAGAGAAAACTCAAGAAGCCAAAACCTCAGAATGCGAACATCCTATTACCCTGAATTGCAAATAACTACTCACATATTCAGTCATAATTTTTTCAGATACACATGACACATCAATGCATCTATTTTAAAAAGACTACTCTTTATAGTTAAGGACTTTACATTAACTTTTATATTCAACTCAGCAAGGTCTGCCTATACTGAAGATTAGCTCTCAAGTTCCAGGAAATAAATACAAACTCATGATATGCTTTGTGATCCCTGATGGCCTGTTTATGTAATTCTACACCACTGAATGTTATTCCATAGAATGTGTTCTTGATTATGTAAAGAATCTAATATTCCTTGATGAAATACTGCAATTCTCTTCTCCAATAGTTACAATTTTTAAATTATGCAAAGAACTGATCATCACTGCCATGAAAGACCAAAAAAAAAAAAAAAAAAAAAAGGTTTAATTTTGTTCCAAAATTAACTTAGTCTCATGTATTTCTAGTAAGTCTTTCAAGGATTCCAGAGAATCTTTTCATATCTCCATTTCTGGAAAGTGAAATCTGGAAAGTGAAATCAGTATAGAAGTAATTTGGGAACTTGAAAATGGCATTCATTTTTTTCAGCAGATGCCAAATTTTTGACCGACATGGCTCCCACAATTACTTTGTTACCATCAGTCCAGTCAGTTAACAGGTTGTAGGAAAAGATTCGTTTTTGCAGACACTGCTAAGCTGTTCAAAGAGAAGAGAAAGAGATTAATTTAGTGATTACAAAATGCACAAATATTTAAAATATTTCGAACACTTTTTGCCGGATTATATCAGAGGTGTGACATTTTAACAAACGTGTACCTTTTTAGTTAGAACTGGTCAAGAAAGGGCAGAAACAATAAGTCAATATGATAGAAATAGGAGGTCAATATGGTGTGTTAGTTCAATTAATGTATGAATTCCTGTCACCATCAGAAAACAAGTATCAAAAAACTACCCTCTTTACACTAATTCTGTATCATTTTGCCATAGAGGCAATTAGGGAAGATGATGAAAAAAAAAAAAGTTCCCCAAATACTAAGATGTTTTCAACCTCTACAGTAAATAGAGCCAAACCTTAAAATTTCAACACAATCCATATATTCCAGAAATCTCCTTTATCCAACTACTCATCATTCAGAACACAATTTTCTAAAAATAGTAAGACAACAGTTTCATATTAATCATAACTTTTTTTAATTAACAAGTAGTGAATAGGACACTTTAAGATATTGTTTACTACATACTGAAATAAACAGATCTGTTGTAAATTCAGAAACCCAAACATTTACAGTAAAATGTGCTTACACATAAATATGATCAAATTTATTTAAACCCCGTTAGATAGGTCCTAAACACATGCAATACCATGTAAAAACAAGACCATGAAGTTGATGTAAAAAATGACAAAATCACTAAGTCACCAAAATTAGAAAAGGAAAAAAAAAAAAAAAAAAGAATGAAATGGAAACTAAGAAAAGACAGTTAAAACAAGGAGCCTAACAAAGCAGCTTTAAAAATAGGCAATACTAATCTCCATTTTCAAAAGTTCTTAATCAAGTAATTCCAAAAACTGCCATTTATAAAATGACATCCTAAAAATCTACACTTGGAATTTTCAAAGCATCTCAATTCAGAAAGCTTTGACTACTGTTTCTCCCCAGCCCCGAACTTCAAATAATTCAGGAAAAGCACTGACATTAGAAGAAAATATTCCAAGGGAATGGTTTTAGAAAAACACACTTACTGCTTCCAGAACCTTTTAAGACCCACAGTCAGCATTAACAACAATCATTTTTCCTATTTTCATCCATTATTTTCCAATGTCATGTTAGAGATGAATAAATTCTTTGAGCCCATAACTGAAAGATCAACAAACCTGGTTTTATTATGACACCATATTTTTGTCATTGGTACTGCACAAAATTATATACAAAGAAATATATACAAAATTGTTCGTTCAAGTATTAATTAAATTTCAATTCAAGGCTTCTGTTTCAAAAAGCTACATTTAACATATTCCATAGAGATAGCACAAATTAGTCATTTCAAATAATTTTTCCAACTACTTTTGGTTTATATATATATATATATATATAATTCAGTAGGCACTAAAAATCCATGCAGCTGCATTGTGAGGGGCTTGCTCCTGCACTTAGGTATAAGCAGGTTCATCACTCCAGGTTGTGAATTTGGCTACTACCCATTCATGCTGAAGTGCAGTAGGTGATTTTACAAAATATGCTGTAATGCACTGGAAACCAGAGACCAAGCTAGGTCTCAAATTGTGTTATCTAGCAACAAAACATTTACAGTTGTGCAAGAACAAGGATTCCATTTTTATAACCAAATAACAACAAAATAAAACATGTGTAAGATAACTTACATCTTTGGACTGCTGGAAAATACTTTTTAATTATGAACATTTTAAAATAAAAGACAGCAGAAGCCCTGATATTACCTCTTTTTCCTCATTTCTTATACTACCTTTTAAAATAAAGCAGGATATGTGGCCAGCAGCTGGTCCCGTCTCTTCTGCCCCAACAGCTGTATCCACTTTAGCACAAAGAAAAACAAGGATGCTAAATATGTATATACTTTATCAAACAGTGATGTTTCACAAAGAATTTCTTAATGCCTCTTACACTGAAGGACACTAAATCTATACAATTGGACAATGAATAATACAGTACTTCAAGGGAAGAATATGTCCCATCTTTGGAAAAAGTGTCAATCGTGTCTTTAGGTAGCCAGAACCACTCAATTTCAAAAATTATTTTTAAATAGGACAAAAACCTTTGAAATAAGGAGAGTAAGATTCTTTGTGAAGCCTCACTTTACACGTTTTCATTCACATTTCACAACCTTCAATATCTAATCATACATAAATTTAACCTAAATTTTAATACAACAAAAGTAAAGGTGTTCAACAATTTATTTATAGTCAGTGATAGGGTAATCACTGTGCTGGTCCTCAAAGAAACATTTCATTAACCATTCTTATTCTCCTTCAATTAATTAACAGAGATGCATGTTATTTTCCAACTTCTTTAATGGTGAGATATTAAAATCTTTTACTCTAGATTGTATTTCTAGATCTCCTACTGAAAACTAAAAGGCATACCCAAATATTTTAAGATATTTCTGTCATCTCCAGCAAAATAACTATCACATTTGTGCAAGCCCAAATACTTATTGTCAACCTCTAAAAAGTTGCTCTAAAATTGGAATTCCAATTTGCACCTTGTACAACTCGGAACTTCCATTCAACTTCACCTGTTTCACTGTCTCCAAACTGTATCTCTATTAGCAGCTTTCAGTGTACAGTTGGAACCGATGTCATCCAAGGCCATGTCCACACTGGGGACAGAAGAGCTAGGTACACGCAAGTCTGAACAAGGGGACACATTAACAGCTATTTCAACCATAAGAAGCATCTTAAATACATTATTGACCAGCACAAGTCTGTTTCCAGGGTGGACAGGGCCCAAATTAGATTTCCCCTCCCACCTTCCAAAAAAGAAAAAAGAAAGGAAAAAAAAAAAAAAACCCACACGCACACAAATTGAGATGTTGCCCATTAAAGTAGACTAAGCAGCAGAGCATGAGCGTTACGTGAAGAGATGGATCCTTACCAGGTTGTGAGGCGGGAACGACTGTTCTGTAACCCCTACAACGGAGCCTGGCAGGAAGGAAATCACCTAAAAAAGAAACTGTCAGAGAGATTTAATAGTCACATGTTATCATTAGGAGTTGGTTACAGTGTCACATTCATGCTTTTAGCTAAACACTTAAAGATTCAATATTACTTTTTCCTCCTCTGAAATGTGTCCAGTGAAGATGTCCCACTAAGGTGTTTTACATGGTGTAAGGGAGTTGAAAGGGGTAAACGCGGATAAAGAGCAGATTACTTGACCCTACATTTTAAGAGAAGACGACGCCTTCCGGGCGCACGCCGAGCAGAACTCCACCGACACCTTATCCTTGTCCACATGAAGACACACTCCTCCCGCTGAGTCGTCCTCTTCCAGCAGGTCCTGCTGCTGCTTTCCCACGGGCAGAGCGTAGTCATGGTCACCGGCGGGCGAGTCTCTGAAGAGCGAGGTAGTCAGCCGCAGTCCCACGCCGCTCAGCCGGCTCAGCAAGCGAGCCAGTCCGGTCTCGTTGGCTAAGACGGCCCGTAGGTAGCGACTCTCCTCCTGCAGTGCCTGCACGCGCTTGCCCAGCTCCCGATTCTCGGCCCGCAGCTCCTGGTTCTCGGCTGCCAGACCCCGGACTCGACTTTCCAGCCCCATCACGTACTCCTTCTTCTTCAGCCGATTAAGACGGGCAGCAGCCGCCGCCGCCTTCCGGGGACTCTTTGTCGCCGCCTGGTTGCTGTCGTTGCCGCTGCTGCCGCCTCCTCCTCCTGGGGACTTTCTCCGCCTCTTTTCGCCGCTGCCACTGTCACTGCCGCTGCTGCAGCCTCCGATGCCGTTTAATAGCCTCTGCAGCAGGTCGGAAAAGCGCTGCATCTCGGCTGCAGCGGCCTCGTCGTCGTCATCCCCTCTCCACAGGCCGCCGCTATCCGAGCCTCCGCCGGACGAGGAGAGAGGCCCGGGCGAGCTGAGCCCGGGCTCCAGGTGCCAGTCCGGCTGCCGGGGGTCCAGCAGATCTGCCAGTTCCAGCCCGGACAGAAAGTCCATGTCCTCCGTCTCCTCCCCCGGGACGCCGGCGATCGCCTCCTCCTCCATCTCCTCGGGCGAGGGCGCGCGCACGGCCACGCCGCCGCGGCCCCCCCTCCCGGCCTCCAACTCGCCCTCGTCGCCGCACGGCTGTTTGCGGCCGGGAGATCCGGCCGCCGCCGTCTCTTCCTCCTCTGCCGCTGCTGCTGCTACCGCCGCCGCCGCCGCCGCCGCCGCCGCCCGGGTCAGGTCCGGGGGCAGCAAGCAGGTCGCGGCTGGAGCCGGGCTCTCGCTGCGGGTTGGGGAGTCGCTGCCCGAGGCCGCCAGCAGTTTGGTCAGGCTATGCCTCATGGGGCCCAGCGGCGGGCCCACGTAGGCCCCGGCCCCTCAGACCGGGCCTCGCGGGCCCCAGGGACCCCAGCGCAGGGGGCCAGGGAGCTGGCTAGAGCGGAACGGAGGGGAAGGTCCGAGTCGCCTCCCACCCCACTTGGCTGGTCGACCCCCCGCGCCGGGGCGGGGGGGAGGGATGGGAGATCGAAGCTGCGAAGCCCAGCGATGACTCGACCGCGCCACCCAGACAACGGCCTGGCCGGAAGTCAGTCGATCTCACCCCAGCCCCTCCCACGGCGTTTCGCGCTCCACAGGGCTCTAGTATCGCGAGAGTTCAGTGAGGTCTGGAATGGGAGTAATTTCAGTTTTCCAGTGATGTCATAGTCCGCAAGCAGCAAAAATAACAAAACCTGAATTTATTGAGAGAACGTCTACTCTCTCCGCCTTCGCTTCTCGAGCTTCCGTATTCAGGCTTCCACTTCAAGTGAAACCACTCTCTCTCAGAATTGAACTTTTAAATACCAAATTTACGAATAATCTTAAAGTTATCCTGCATTTCCCTGGAATTTTACGACTGGTGATCAGATACCGCCTGAAATTGCTCCTTTCCCTTTCCGTTTGTAATGCGCGATCCTTCCACTCAACAGAGTACTAGGGAAAAAAAAAAGAGAGAGAGAGAGGTAAATAAGTCATTCAACATAATTTTTCCAAATTTTTATCATCCTAATTTTATTAAAATGTCTAAGCCATTTCTATGCATTTTCTAAACAACAACCAAAAAATCGTCTTGTCCTTGTCTGTGATAATAGTGCAAACCTATTTTCTATGTGTGTTCTGTAGTGGGCGTGATCGTGAGCACGCGTGGGTGCGCACATGCGTGCCAGTCTTTGTACTGCCACTACCTCACGGTGTGAGTGATGGTTGTATTGCCGGTTGTGTTAACAGAGGTCGTTTTGTTGAGTGAATCGTGTGTGTGACTTTTTTCCTGTTTGCTTTATGGCGGGGGCTGGGGATTGGGTGTCATGAAACCGACATGTTTTTTTCTGAAAAGGACTATTATCACATTCTAAATAGAATAGTTTCTGGTTTTTCCTGAATGAGCCTGATTTTGTTGCTGTTTTTCATCTATCAGGGTAAAAAGAGTACCCTTAAAAACCCCGCGGCCAAGTTGAACAGCTCTGTTGTATTCTTTTCTGTGTTGCGTTGGCCATTTTATGAACGTGCTTAGTTTTGATAACCACGGGTTTTTAAATTGGTTTTTTTACATTTTATATTTTATTTATTCTGATCAGGGTTTCAGGATCATATTTTCTCTGACATTGACTTTACTTGAAATCATAAAAAATTCTGATTTAAAAAATAGATATTGAAATGGGCTATAGAGGCAAACTCTTCTCCTTAGAACTTTGGGGTTTCAACTAAATTTCTTCCAGTTCTTTAGGAATTTCAGAAGTTTCTTCCCCCTTAAGTCTTGTGACAATGCTGTGGTCTCTTCTCCATACTAAAAGACAACGAACGAAAGATACATCTCTATCAGGTAGAGTCTATAATTCCTTGAAATGGTTTTAACATAAGGTTTTATTGATTCATTTAAAAAATTATTCCTGAAGCATATTTTCCAAATATAAGAAAATTGCCATTTGAGGGACACCTGGGTGGCTCATCTGGTTAAAAGTCTGCCTTCAGCTCACCTTTAGCTCAGGTCCTGATCCTAGTGTCCTAGTGTCCTAGTCCTGCCTCAGGCTCCTTGCTTAGTAGAGAGCCTCCTTCCTCTCCTTCACCCCCACCCCTGCTTGTGCTCGTCCACGCACACTCTCTCTCTGACAAATAAATAAAATCTTAAAAAAAAAAAAAAAAGAAAGAAAGAAAATTGCCATTTGCGACAAATATGTTAGGAAGTGTAAACGCAGAATGTGAAATCTGAGATAATGATTCCCAAAATCAGGTATGTGAAACTACTACTCAGGGAGTAATGAATATGTAAATTACCCAAAAATGGGTCTGTAGGTCTGTGTAACATTGGACATCAAAATTCTAGCAATCATCTCTAGTGGTTCTAGTGATAGTTGGGACCATAATAATAGGGTCTCTAAATTTAAACCCCATAGAAAGTTAAAGTATCAATTTCTTTCTGTGGACGCTTACTGCATAGGAAATCACTTCACTTAAGTATTCTCAGGTTTTTAATAACCACGGTTTTATATCTTTTATCTGTGCATAATAAAAAGATATATATAACTTTAAAAATTTCCAAATATTTCACAGAATATGTGAACAACAGTACAGTATCCACACTAATTCTACAATACTATCCAATACCCAGACACAACAATTCAACAATTAACATTTGCCATATATGCTTGATCTGTTTGTAAATGTTTGTAAAATACAATTTTTTTGCTGAGTCATCCCAAAGTTGCAGACCAGACACATGACCCCAACATACTTAAATATATATCTTTTTTTTTTTAATATTTTATTTGTTTATTTGACAGAGAGCTAGAGAACGAGCACAAGTAAGCCGAGCGGCAAGGAGAGGGGGGGAGAGAGAGAAGCAGGCTCTCTGCTGAGCAGGGAGCCCGATGCGGGGCTCGACTCTGGGATCATGACCCGAGTCGAAGGCAGCCGCTTAACCAACTGAACCACCTGGGCGCCCCAAGTCTATATCTTTAAGAATAAGAACATTCTCGGGGCGCCCGGGTGGCTCAGTGGGTTAAAGCTTCTGCCTTCCGCTCAGGTCATGAACCCGAGGTCCTGGGATGGAACCCCGCATCCGGCTCTCTGCTGGGCAGAGAGACTGCTTCCCTTCCTTTCTCTCTGCCTGCCTCTCTGCCTACTTGTGATCTCTTTCTGTCAAATAAATAAATAAAATCTTAAAAAAAAAAAAAGAATAAGAACATTCTCTTTCATAATCATAACACTAATACAAGGTCTTGAGAAAATTAACGATCATTTACTAACATTATCTATTACCCATGCCATATTCAAATTCCTTCAGCTTTCCTCATAATAATCTTTTACAGAGGATACTTTACTTTTAGCCAGGATCCAATCAAGTGTCACGTACTGCATTTGGTTATGTTTTTATAAAGTTTTTCTTTTCCCCCATTTCTCACTCTAAAAGAGACCTTTGTATTGTTTAGCTTTTCTTAATATTGGCTTTTTGAAGAGACAAGAGCAGTTAGTTGTCTTAAAAATGCACCACATTGGGACGCCTGGGTGGCTCAGTTGGTTAAGCAGCTGCCTTCGGCTCAGGTCATGATCCCAGCGTCCTGGGATCGAGTCCCGCATCGGGCTCCTTGCTCGTCAGGGAGCCTGCTTCTCCCTCTGCCTCTGCCTGCCCCTCTGTCTGCCTGTGCTCGCTCTCTCTCCCTCTCTCTCTCTGACAAGTAAATAAATAAAATCTTTAAAAAAAAAAAAAATGCACCACATTCTGTGGCGCCTGGGTGGCTTTGTTGGTTAAGCGACTGCCTTCTACTCAGGTCATGACCCTGGAGTCCCAGGATCCAGTCCTGCATCTGTCTCCCAGCTTGGTGGGGAGTCTGCTTCTCCCTCTGACCTTTTCCCCTCTAATGCTTTCTCTCACACTCTCTCTCCCTCAAGTAAGTAAATAAAATCTTAAAAAAAAAATGCACCACATTCTGGATATTTCTGTTTCTTCTTGGTGTTATATTGTTCCTCTAATTGCACAAGGTATTTGAGACTTGAAGCAGTTCAGAAGTACAGTAAAATACAATGAAACAAAAAAATTCAAAATTTTAAAAAGCAAGGCCAGTGAAAATCTAGATGAAATAGGGAGATAAGGAGTTCCAAAGAGGGGAAAGTTTGTATTGGAATAAGATAGACATAAAATCTTACAGTTACTCAAGTTGAGCTAATAATAAACTAAGCTTTCATGGCAAATCAAAAGAAGAAAGTTTACTTTGTTTGCTCATGAGTAAACTTTATATGAATTCCTTAGCCACTTTTCCAGTTCTACGGTCTTAAGAAACTTCTCTTTGGGATACTGAATAAAATAGCAAATAGCCTCAACGAATAGCTATGTTTATATGGTTGTTTCTTAGATAGAAATCAAATGCCAGGAAAGTTGGACTCTGATAGATCCCAAATATCTGCAATAGTACCTGCCACAGCTTAGACTTCAATAAATATTTGTTGAATGAATAAATGAAGGTCTCCAGTTTCAGTGGAAGGCATAACACAAAGCTCAACTAAAAGACAACAATTCCACAAGGGGCCAAAAAAAAAAAAAAATAGCCAATGGTATCTAGAAGAATAAAGAAAGAACCTTCCAGATAATGTCATAACATGAACTTTTCCAAGTTCAAAAAGAGCTGGAATTTTCATGGACATTGCATTGAACTTATTAGTTTATTTTTCCAAGTTATCTTATGCACTTTTTGCTAGTGGGCTGCATTATTTCTTTATATTTTCTAAGTGGTTATTGTTGCTGCATAGGAAATCTTTTTGATCTTTTTCGTTAAATTTTTTTACTGATTATTCATTCCACTGAAAACTCTTGATAGTTTTTATTTTCAATTTATTCATTCAAATTTTCCTGGTAGACAGTTACATCACCTTATTATATATAGTAACAATTTTGCCTCCTCCTTTGCAATACTCTTTTTATTATCTTGACTGATCATGAAATACTTCTGCCTTGATGTTAAATAATACTGTCAATTGTCTTATTTCTGACTTTAACAGGAATGTCTCTAGTGTCTCGCTGTTAATTTCAGATGGAGAAACCAACCTGGCTATTGTAAGCAGAAAACTTTGTAATGCTGAGAATGTGTGCACATAAAGTCATTGGGAGGACTGGAGGAGTAGACACTAGGCTGCATGACCAAGAATGCTTTTCAGTACAAAGTAGCCAAACAGGCCTGACAGGGACCTGCTATCTCTGCCCCAATTGGGAAAGTGGTAAAATAGAAAACTGGGATTTGGGTCCAAGTGCATGACTACTGCCCACACTCTCAATCCCATGTATTAATTATCTATTGCAGCCTAACAAATTACCCCAAATCTTAAAACGACAGTAGATATTTGCTTATGGCTGTGGCTTAAACTCATAATAAACATTATCTCTTGAAGTTTCTGTTGGTCAGAAATCTTCAAGTGCTTTTGTTATGCAGTCTGGCTCTGGAATTTTCATGGAATTCAGATTTCAGCTGGAGATGCAGTCATCTGTGGGCTTGACTAGGGTTAGATATCCACCTCTGAGATGGCTGGAGGAAACTTCAGGTCCCCTTCCAATGTGGGCC